TTGGATTTTGGAATATTTGCATATATGTAATGAGATTCTTGGGGATGGGATCCAAATCTAAAAAACAATCTTTTTATGTTTCATCTACATTATATACATATTTGAAGGTCATTTTAAAAAAGATTTATTTATTTATTTGAAATGCAGAGTTAGAGATCGATCTTCCATCCGTTGGTTCAGTCCCCAAAGGGCTGCAATGGCTGGTAGCCAGGGCCAGTAGTCAGGAGCTTCATCTGAGTCTCCCTTATGGGTAAGGGCCCAAGCACTTGGGCTGTCCTCTGCTGCTTCCCCTGGTGCATTAGCAGAGAGCTAAGTCAGAAGTGGAGCAGCTAGGACTCAAATCTGTGCTCATATGATTTGCTGGCATTGCAGGCAACGGCTTAACCCACTGTATCACAGTGCCAGCTCCTATAGTCATTTTATACAGTATTTGTATGTGTGTATGTGTACCTGCAGTTTTACATGAGGTCAGGAATGGAATTTTCCACTTTCGTTGTCATGTTGGTACTCCAAAAATTTAGGATTTTGGAGCATTTCAGATTTTGAATTTTTAGATTAAGGATGCTCAGCCTGTACCATTATCATACATTTGTTATTTAGATTGGGTTAAGGCCAGCAAAGTCCTAGGATTCTACTGAACAAAGTCTAAAGCATATATGCATTGCATTCTTAAATGTGGACTCTATGTTAAAAGGTCAGCTTCTTTTTCCTTTGAAAAAGTGGCGACAGAGAACTAATTCTCTCTGCTTTGATTTTTCTATGACAAGTTGCTTTGTCTTCAGTTATAGCACTTACCGCATTATATTATTATCACAAAAACTTAGTGTATATCTGCTACTATCCTCCCAAATTGTAAATCTCTCGGGCCAGAGATCATATTATATGAATATCTTAGGAATCTTTAAGGTAGTATATTGTACATCTATATCAGGTGGTCAGAAATGTTGACTGAATTAATGACAAGAATGTTGGCTTAATCAGACCACCTGGTAATAATATTAGAACATTGCCAATAGGGGCTGGCGCTATGGCGCACTAGGTTAATCCTCTGCCTGCAGCACCGGCATCCCATATGGGCTCCATTTCTACTCCTGGTTGCTTCTCTTCTAGTCCAGCTCTCTGCTGTGGCCTGGGAAAGCAGTAGAAGTAGATGGCCCAAGTGCTTGGGCCCCTGCACCTACATTGGAGACAAGGAAGAAGCTCCTGGCTCCTGGCTTCTGATCAGTGTAGCTCCAGCTGTTGCGGCCATTTGGGGAATGAACCAACAGAAAGAAGACCTTTCTCTCTGTCTCTGTCTCTCTCTCTCTCTCACTGTCTGTAACTCTACCTGTCAAATAAATAAATAAAATCTTAAAAAAAAAAAAAAAAACATTGCCAGTATATCAAAATAATGAAGTATGGTAGCTAGTGTTCCCTGCAAAAGCATTTCAGTTATTTTTTTCTACGCCGTAGTTACTAAAAGTGGTATTGGTGGGAAATTAATTACTAAATAGGTGTAAAATTTTGTACTATGTAACATGAAACATTGTATTTTCATTATTGTGTTTCTGCTAACATCCACAGTCCTTGGTTGGTTAAAAACAAATACTATCTTGTTTGATAGCATACATATAATAAAGCCTCTTCTTTAATGTATATTTTTAGGGGTGGACGTTGTGACACAGTGGGATGCTTATATTCCATATCATGCAATATCTGGTTTAAGTCCCAGCTACCTACACGTCCAATCCAGCTTCCTGCCGATGCATCTGGGAGGCAGCAGATGATGACCCAAGTGCTTGTGTTCCTGCCACCCATGTGTGAGACCTGGCAATCTTTTCTAAAAAGTATATATTTAGTATTAAATCTGTTTATATCTGTACAAGTGATTCTTTTTAAAAATTTTGTTTTTCTTTGAGAGACAGAAAGTATATGAGTGAGCAAAAGTGCTCCCATATGTTGGTTCATTCTCCAGATGCTTACAATATCCAGGACTGTGCAGAGACTAAAGCCAGGAACTGGGAACTTAATCCAGTTCTACAATGGTGGCAGAAACCCAGTTTCTTGAACCATCACTGCTGCTTCCTGTAGTCTGCCTTAGTGGGAAGCTGGAGGCAGGAGTTGGAGCTGAGAATTGAACCCAGGCACTCTGATGTGGGATGTGGGCCTCTTAACCACTAGGCTAAAACACCCACTCCCAGCACATTGGTTATTAACTATGGAGTATTTAGCTAGGAACATCATCCCTCCACCCCCGAAACCTTTTATTTAAGGAATACAAATTTCTTAAGTACAACTTTAGGAATATAGTGATTCTTCTCACCACACCTGCCCTCCCACCCACACTCTCACCCTTCCTCCTCCTCCCTGTCCCATTCCCAATCCCATTCTCCAGTAAGATTCATTTTCAGTTAACTTTATACACAGAAGCCAACTCTATACTAAGAAAAGATCTCAACAATTTGCACACATACACACAAAACTGAGAACAAAGTTTTACTGTTAACTCTCATAATACAACTCATTGAGGACATTGGTCCTGCATGGGAAGTTAGTGCATAGTGACTCCTGTTGTTAATTTAACAATGAGCACTCTTATGTATGACATCAGTGACCACCTGAGGCTCTTAACATGAGCTGTTTAGGCTATGGAAGCCTTTTCAATCCACAAACTCCATCACTATTTAGACAAGGCCATAAGGAAAATGGAAGTTCTCTCCTCCCTTCAGAGAAAAGGATATCCTTCTTTAATGGCCCCTTCTTTTTGCTGGGGTCTTATTCACAGAGATCCTTCACGTAGAACTTTTTTTGCCACAGTGTCTTGGCTTTCCATGCCTGAAATGCTCTTATGGGGTTTTTAGCCAGACCAGGATGCTTTAAGGGCTGATTCTGAGGTCAGATTGCTACTTAAAGCGATTGTCATTCTATGAGTCGGCTGTGTGGACTGCTAGCAACATCTTTAACCAAAAGATTGCTAAGCAGGAATATTCACTAACTGCTGAATTGGGGAATTGGGGCAAGGAAAGGGGACAATCTTACCTGACTTGTGGGTGGTTGTCCAGGAGATTTTTTTTTTTTTATACTTTGTTGTTCTTGCAGAGTATTACTTTCCAGCTTGGTAGGTTCTCTTCTCATTCTTGGTGGAGATGAGTGGGAGAGGAGAGACAAGAAGAGAGACTTGAAGGAGAAATGAAATTGATAGTTACTAGATAATCAATCAGGGATTTCTTGAAAAGAGAAACTATTTGGCAGATGACTTTTGGAAAATTGTGGGTTTTCATGGTAGAGAAAAGATTTTGATGAGAAAGATACTAAAAAACCTTACAGTTATAAATTTAGACTTTGTGTGTGTCTGTGTGTGGGGGGGCATGTCTCCTTTTACTTCTTGCTTCACTGTTTCATTGTTATTTTCTTCCCTTTTTAACATACTTGGTTATGTTCTATGATGTATGACAGCCTTAATTTAGTGCTTTCAATAGAGTGATGCTAGAAGGTGAGTATGCTTTTTGTGAAAATGTTTTTAATGGAATATTAACATTTCAAAAACATTGTCCAGCCTGTAGATATTTCCATGTTATGTGGGAGATACAGTGATGTCTGGATTGTAGAGTAGACATGGCAAATCAACCTTAAAAGATTCTCTATAGGATATTAAAATGTCTAATTTGATGGCATTTCATTTCTTAAATAGAGGGCCTTTGTTCTGTTCAACTTGAATCCTAGAAATTCTGAAAGTTGAATACAGTATTATATATGGAAATACATAGAGAATATATACTACTCTAGTAAATAACAAATAGCTATGTAGTACAGAGAGTTTTGAGTTTTACCTGATTTTAATACTTTCTACCACAATAGTATAATTTTATAGCTTTTAATATCCTTTTGGTACTGTTTCTTAGATGTTTTATAATAATTTTGCATAACTGAGAGGAATAGCATATTACACATAATGCTCGTTTGAATGCTTGGCCACTAACTCTGAGACAGGTAGTTACAATCTTAATAGAAGTTAGTTTAAAACAGAATTCTGTTGTTTGTAAGTAGTTTAGCAACAAAGCTGCTGACTGGCTAATGACTCAGAGATGCTAACTTGTCAAAAGGACTGTACCGTTTAATCCCTTAATACAATTATTTGAACACAACCTTGAATTGATGTGGTTGGTTATTTTCTAGAAATTTTAAATTTCTTTCATTGTTTACATTTATGACTTTCATTGATTTGCAAGGTATTTATTGAACCCTAAAAATGTGTTATGCAATTACATAAAATGCTTTATTATTTCTTAATAAAAATCATATTTGGCCTATTTTTGTTTTTGATAATTCAGATTTAAGTTTTTATTACCCCATTTCATAAAATACCTGGGAAAGCTATCCATGTTACATGAAGAAAATGATCTGTGTCCAGTACCGATACAGTGCCAACGGAGGAGTATTAGTTTTCTGTATTATTCCTGCTAAAAGGCAGTGAACAGCCTGACATTCAGAAACAACAATGGGCTGTTTTAACATTGTTCAATGTTAAATTGTTTTTGCCTTGAAAACTTTAAACACTTATATTTTTATTTTTGTATTTTCAAAAACTACCACCTTAATATATTTATTAGAGCTGAGATAAATGTTCCTGTGGAAGAAATAGTACTATTTGAGTATTAGAAGGTGTGAGCATATGATTTAAATGAAGCACAGTTGTGTTTCCTTCCTGCTTCAAGATGTTTAAGACGATTCATGGTTACTGCCGTGATTTTAAAGAAATTTTATCCTTAACTAGAAGTTAAGTTTGAAAAAGACCAGTGCACATCTGAGTCATTTCTTATCTCTGTGATACCTGGTATTGATGGATCATTACAGTTGGACTGATAGTTGCTGCAAATTTTATTTAAGATAACATCATGGATAAAATATTGTTTAGATTTAGCTAGCACATTTAGGTACTACTGTTTACTATTTACCTGACTTTAAGACTGTCTAATCCTGACGTTTTGCAGAAGATAACCTGTATTTTTATACTTTTGTAGGATAGACGGCCGAATTAGCAGTTTGGAAATTTAGACAAGTGATCTGGCGGGATGGGCATCTGCCTGGCGGATTTAATAGAGGTAATTCAACACTGTTTTAACTGAATGCTTATTTCTCACTTGTGATAGATGCTCATGTCATATTTATAGCTGTTGGGTAGTTTTCTGTGTTTATTGGACAGTTCCTTTTATTATGATTATTATTTTTTAAAGATTTATTTACTTATTTGAAAGTCAGATTTACATGTATAGAGAAGGAGAGGGAGAAAGAGAGAAGTCTTCCATCCGCTGGTTCACATCCCAAATGGCCGCAGTGGTTGGAGCTGTGCCGATCTGAAACCAGGAGCCAGGAGGTACAGGGGCCCAGAGATTTGAGCCATCATCTACTGCTTTCCCAGGCCATACACAGAGAGCTGGATTGGAAGTGGAGCAGCCGAGTCTTGAACTGGTGCCCATAGGAGATGCCAGCACTGCACACGGCGGCTTTACCTGCTTTACTCATTATGCCACAGCGCCGGCCCCTATTATTATTTTTTAAATGTTTATTTTTGCCTACTTGAAAGGCAGAGTGCCAGAGAGATAGAATGAGAAAGAGAGAGAGAGAGAGAGAGATCAATATCAGTTGATTGTTCTTCAGTCTACTAGAGTTGATTGTTCTTCAATCTACTAGTTCACTCCCCAAATGCCTGCAACAGTCAAGGTTGGGCCAGGTGGAAGCCAGGAGCAAGGCACTCCATCGGGGTCTCCCATATGGGTTGCATGGCCCAGGCACTTGTATTAGCAAGGAAGGATGCATTTGCAGAAAGCTGGATTGGAAGCGGAGGTGCTGGAACTTGAAACTGCTGGTATTCTGATACAGGATGCAGGTATCCCAAGTGGCAGCCTAACTCGCCATGCCATAGTGCCCCCCCCCCCCGTCTTTTCCTTTTATATCCGTCATTTACAGGGTGAATAGTACACGTAAATAGCATGCTGTCACTGTGCGTAGATAAAGACATCTTATACACTGCAAAGAATGAGCACTGTATAGGAGGAAGGTCATCATCTTCTTTCACTTAACTGGATTGCTTGCAAACATTTCTTTTTTAGACCCAGTTTCCTTGTATTATTAGCAAGACAGGTGAATATCTTCTTGTTGGCCTGTGTTGGTGCATTTATTAAACCTGTGCCTTTTTTTTTTTAAAAGATTTTAAGAGGTAGAATTATGGGCAGAGAGAGGGAGAGACAGAAAAGTCTTCCGTCGACCGGTTCATTCCCTAAACAGCCACAATGGCTGGAGCTGAGCTGATCGAAGTCGGGAGTTTCTTCTGGGTCCCCGAAGTGGGTGCAGGGGCCCAAGCTCTTGGGCCATCTTCCACTGTTTTCCAGGGCCACAGCAAAGAGCTGAATTGGAAGAGGAGCAGCTGGGGCAGGAATCAGCACCCATATAGGATGTTGGCGCCACAGCCGGAGGCTTAGTCTACTGAGCCACAGCACTGGCCCGTAAACCTGTGCTTTTGTCTTTCAGACTACATGAAAGAAAATTGAATATTTAACACTTTACAAGTATTGACATATCTGTCAATGACATATAGTCTCATATCAAGTATTAGTGATCTTACAAATTCTAAAATGAGGGGCCAGTGCCATGACTCACTTGGTTAATCCTCCGCCTGCGGCTCTGGCAGCCCATATGGGCGCCAGGTTCTAGTCCCGGCTGCTCCTCTTCCAGTCTAGCTCTCTGCTGTGGCCCTGGAAGACAGTGGAGGATGGCCCAAGTCCTTGGGTCCCTGCACCCATATGGGAGACTGAGAGGAGGCACCTGGCTTTGGATCGGCGTAGCGCCGGCCGTAGCGGCCATTTGGGCAGTGAACCAATGGAAGGCAGACCTTTCTCTCTGTCTCTCTCTCTGACTGTCTATAACTCTACCTGTCAACAACAACAACAAAAAAGAGACCTCTCTCCTCTTCTCAGCCTCTTTAAAAAAAAACTTTTAAAAAAAATTAACAAATTCTAAAATGAGTTTTAAAATTTGTTTTAAGGATTGAAAAATAAATGCGGTTTTACTGACTATGTTTCTGATTTCCTTCTTTTTGCCACATCTTCTGGTGATTGTTAGGTTAATGTTTTTAGTCTCTTCCCTGTGTTTTAAGAGGAGTACACATTTAAGCAGTAGAGAGTGCTACCGCAACCTAAAAAAGCTTTCCTCCTTGTTTTTTTTTTTTTTTTTCTTTTTCTTTTGAGATTTATTTATTCATTTGAAAGTGGAGCCAGGACGTGATATCAGGCACTCAGATGTTGGATGCAGGTGTCTGAAGTGGCAGGTTGTCTATAGGCCAAATGTCTGCTACTCTTTTAATTTATTTAAAATTGTTTTAAGGGACAGCACTGTGGCATAGAAGGTTAAGCCTCTCCCTGCAGTGCCGGCATTCCATTTGGGAGCTGGTTTGAGTCCTGGCTGCTCCACATCCAATCCAGCTCTCTGCTAAGAAGCTCCTGGCTTCTGCCTTTGGATCAGCCCACCTCTGGCCTTTGCAACCAGTTGAGGAGTGAACCAGCTGGTGGAAGATCTTTCTCTGCCTCCACCTCTCCCTCTCTGTAACTCTGTTTTTGAAATAAATAAATATTCTTAAGAACATGAATTAATATGCATGCTAAAATTGGGGTTATTGGGGCCGGCGCTGTGGTGCAGCAGGTGAATGCCCTGGTCTGAAGCGCCAGCATCCCATATGGGCGCTGGTTCAAGAGCCGGCTGTTCTACTTCTGATCCAGCTCCCTGCTATGGGCTGGGAAAGCAGTGGAAGATGGCCTAAGTCCTTGGGCCCCTGTACCCATGTGGAAGACCCGGAAGTAGCTTCTGGTTCCTGACTTAGGATCGGCACAGCTCCGGCTGTTGCGGCCAGTTGGGGAGTGAACCATCGGATGGAAGACCTCTCTCTCTTTCTCTCTCTCTCTCTCTCTCTCTCTCTGCCTCTGCTTCTCTGTGTAACTCTGACTTTCAAATAAATAAATAAATCTTTAAAAAAAAAAAGTGGGATGGATTATTACTGGACTTGCTGTAAGTAGAAAGACTTCTTTTTGTCTTAGCATCATTGAAAACTGATATAAAAATCGTAGAACGTTTCATACATCATCTGGGCTCCAAGCTTCCTGTGAAGGAGCATTTACAAACTATTCCTGGTAGATAGGAATCTAATATTTTGAAGGACTTCCAAGGTCAGAAATCTTGCAAAAAGTCTCTTACTGTACTCAGAAATAGTTACTATCAGATAGTTCTTTTCTTGTGTAGCTTTTGCTCTTTGCATTGGTTTTTATTTTGGATATGCTGTACTAATTCCTAGGATTATTTCCATCTTTGTGTCAAAAGGTAACCTTGCCGGTAAGTTCTATATTTCAGTATTTAATATGATTTTATAGCTGTAAATTTCTGTTGTAAATACACACACATTCTGTGTGCCACTTGTTCAGTTTTGATGTTCATAAGGTTTACTGTTGTGCTTGTTTTTCTCTTCTTTGATAAATAATTACATAGCAGACATGAATAGTGTTTTTAAGCAGTTCCTTAATCTTCTTTTTATAAGGTTTTAGGACTGTGAACATCCAAATTTCCCTTATCTCTGACTCCAGATGTAGATAATTATTCTTTTAAGACCAGTTCCTGCCGGCGCCGCGGCTCACTAGGCTAATCCTCTGCCTTGCGGCGCCGGCACACCGGGTTCTAGTCCCAGTTGGGGCGCCGGATTCTGTCCCGGTTGCCCCTCTTCCAGGCCAGCTCTCTGCTGTGGCCCGGGAAGGCAGTGGAGGATGGCCCAAGTCCTTGGGCCCTGCACCCCATGGGAGACCAGGATAAGTATCTGGCTCCTGCCATCGGATCAGCGCGGTGCGCCGGCCACAGCGCTACAGCCGCGGCGGCCATTGGAGGGTGAACCAACGGCAAAAGAAAGACCTTTCTCTCTGTCTTTCTCTCTCTCTCACTGTCCACTCTGCCTGTCAAAAACAAAAAACAAAAAACAAAAAACAAAAAAAAACAGTTCCTTCAGGTACTGCCTAACACTAGTGTTTTCCCAGTTTCAGACATAAGCGCATTGGTCTTTCAGGTGTAGTTCACTGTATTTATGAAGAGCAATCATTTCAATACTAGCTTTTATGCACCGTATTTGTTTAGCATTTCCCCCTCTGTAAATAATGTATTCTGTTGTGTGTGTTTTATTGTAGGAATTGGATGGCGTAAGTGATTAGAGTGGAAGTGGTATTGCGGGTTTCTGATACGTATGAAAGGTAGAAACTCAACCATGATTTCTGTTTCAACTCTACAGCATTCCCTTCCTTGAAGTCTTCATTTTTACCATAGACTCAGGTAATTTTAACAGTTTCTCATAATCTTGAATAATTTTTTTCAAATATGAAACTATTCTTTTGGCTGTTAGAACTTCATGTTGAGTTTGTATAACTGTATTTTGGTATTTATATCTAGAAGCAACTTTAATTACTTTGCTGAGATTTTTCTTGACAAAATAATTGTGATTTTTTAAAGATTTATTTATTTGAAATTCAGAGTTAGAGGGAGAGACGGGGAGAGAGAAAGAGAGATATTTTCCATCTTCTAGTTCACTCCCCAAGTGGCTGCCACAGCTGGGGTTGAGCCAGGCTGAAGCCAGGAGCCAGAAGGTGGAAGATTCATCTCGATCTCTTGCACGAGTGGCAGGGACCTAAACACTTGGGCCATCCTCCGCTCCTTTTCCCAGGCCGCTAGGAGGGAGCAGGATCAGAAGTGGAGCAGCTGTGACTTGAACTGGTGCCCATATGAGATGCTAGCATTGCAGATTGCAGGCAGCGACTTTACCTGCTGTACCACAGCACCGGCCTCTGACGAAATATTTTTTTTTAAAGCTAAATCTTTTTTTTTTTTTTTTTTTTTTTTAAGATTCATTTTATTTATTTGAAAGAGTTACAGAGAGAGAAAGAGGTCTTCCATCCACAGGTTCTCCACCCACCCATGCGCCACCTCCCCCCCATAGCTGCAATGGCCAGAGCTGAGCTGATCTGAAGCCAGGAGCCAGGAGCTTCTTCTGGGTCTCCCATGTGGGTGCAGGGGCCCAAGCCATCTTCTTCTGCTTTCCCAGGCCATAGCAGAGAGCTGGATTGGAAGTGGAGCAGCCACAATAGTTTTAAGAGAATGTTGATGAATACTAGTAATTTTAGATTTTAAGTCAGGTTAATATGAAGAATGTGTATAGTTTATCATGTAACCTGAAGTGAAATTTAAATAAGTTTGTTTCCTGTTCAGTATTTTTTCTTGACAAGGAATTGTATTTTTCTCTCCCATATCTTATTTTTAAAGTATTTATTTATTTATTTATTTGAAAGGTATTGTGTCAGAGAGAAAGAGAAACCTTCCATCTGCTAGTTTACTTCCCAAATGATGGCAATGTCTGCGGCAGGTCTCTATTGAAGCCAGGAGCCTGGGATTCAGTGCAGGTTTCCTGCTTGTTGTGCCACAGTGTCAGCTCCATCCCTTATTCTTTTTGATTGGTTGGTTGATTGATTTTTTATTTGAAAGGCAGACTTAGAGGAAGAAGAGAGAACATGTGCACATGATCTTATTATTTTCAGCTAAATTTCTTTTTTTTTTAAGTACAGCTTTAGGATTATAGTGATTCTTCCCACCACATTCACCCTCCCACCCTTTCCTCTTCCTCCCTCTCCAATTCCCAGTCCCATTCTCCACTAAGATCCATTTTCATACACAGAACACCAACTCTATACTAAGAGTTCAACAATTTGCACAGAAAAAAACAAAACAAAACAAATTGTTCCTCAACAGTCAAGACAAGGGCTGTTCAAAGTCATTGCATCTCAAAGTTAATTTCACTTTTTTTTTTTTTGAGAAACTAAATTAACTTTAATGAAACATCCAAGAATGATACTTCTTTTGCAAGCACCTAGGCATAACTATAACTTATGGAATACAAGAAAGTAAGTCCTTGAGAATAAGTCTTATTAATTAAGGAAGCACCTAAGAAAACAAACAATGGTTTTAGAAAATGATTCTTTCCTAGGTAGCCATGTGTCTCAGTTAATTTTATTATTTTGATAAGAAGGAAAAAACATTCAGGGAAGATGTTGTCTGTCATGTTAGTGTTTGTGGTTATATATGTTCCATTAAAAGAAAGTGATATTGCTTTAAATCCTGAATACTTTTTCTGTTCCAGGATGAGTCTTGGTTACTGCATAATGCATTTTAAAAGTAAAAGGTGTTTAACATTTGTTCATAGTAAACAGGAACATTTACTTTGAGATGTATCTTTGTACTCTTTTTATTATATAAGACTATGGAAAATTTAGTTTCCTTAATAGAGTCAGCATTTTGATTTTAGTGTTTGAAGTGAGATACAATGACTAGATCCAACGAAGTGTAAGTTCTTTTTGTTTTGCTTGAATCTTTTTTTTTTTAGATTTTAATATTTATTTATTTATAAGTCAGAATTAGCGAGAGAGGGAGAGACAGGGAGAAAGAAAGATCCTCCATCTGCTGGTTCACTCCCCAAATGGCTGCAGTAGCCAGGGCTGGGGCAGGCTGAAGCCAGGAGCCTGGAGCGTCATCCAAGTCTCCCATATGAATACAGGGGCCCAAGGACTTAAGCCATTCTCTGCTGCTTTCCCGGGAGCATTAATAAGGAGCTGGATTGGAAGCTGAGCAACTGGGACTTAAACCAGCGCTCATATGGGGTGCTGGCACTGCAGGCTGTGGCTTTACCTACTATGCCACAGTCCTGACCCCTTGGATCTTGTTTTTAAAAGAATTTGTACTATGTATTTGAAAGATAAAGAGATTAGAGAGATCACCCATCTGCAGGTTCACTTTCCAAATGCCTGCAACTGCTGGGATTGGTAAGGTCAAAGCCAGGAGCCTGGGACTCAGTTTGGTCTCCCATCTGGGTTGCAAGGACGTAAGTACTTGAGCCACCTTCTGCTACCTCCCAGGGTCTACATTAGTAGGAAATTCAAATGGAGAGCAGAGCTTGGACTCAAATCAAGTTAAAACTGGGGTGGAAAATGGTTATCTCAAGTGGTCACTTAGGCTGTGCTAAACACCCACCTGTTGGGTGGACTCCTCCCCCACAGTCCTTTAAGAAAAATGACAGCTGTTTCTTAACAGTTTGAGTTGCCATAAATAGGATTTTTTTTTTAAAAAAAAGTTTGTAGCTACCACTGGTTTTTTGTCTTACTGTTTTAGAAGGCTTTGTTAAGTATTTGGAATGCTGAATATGCTTAGATCTTGCTTTATTTGAAGGGGTCTTGTTAATTTTAGCTTAAATATTTATGGATTGCTTTTATGCAGTTTTAAATTAATTTTTAGTTATCTTATAAAGTGGTTAATCTTTAAAATTTTGATAAGTAATTGTGCTAGCAGCTATTGAGCTCAATCCTGTTCTCCCATGTGGGTAGCAGGGATCCAAGTACTTGGGCCATCTTCTACTGCCTTTCCAGGGCATCATTGGAGAGCTGGATTGGAAGTAGAGCAGCCAGGACTCCCTGGTTCCCCTGATATGGAATGCTGGCATTGCAAGGGCAGCTCAGCCTGCTGTGCCACAATGCCAGCCCCCAAAGTTTATATTTCTTATGCTGATATTTTTAAGATGTAATTTTTTCACTGACTCAAATATAAGTTAGAAATACTGGTCTGGGCCGGCGCTGTGGTGTAGTGAGTTAAGCTGCTGCCTGCAGTGCCAGCATCCCATATGGGCACTGGTTCGAGTCCCAGCTTTTCCACTTCCGATCCAGCTCTCTGCTATGGCCTGAGAAAGCAGTAGAAGATGGCCCAAGTCTTTGGGCCCCTGCACCTGCATGGGAGACCCAGAAGTGCCAGGTTCCTGCTTTCGGATTGGTGCAGCTCCGTCTGTTGCAGCCATCTGGGGAGTGAACCAGCAGATAGAAGACCCCTCTCTTTCTGCTTCTGCCTTTTAAATAAATAAATCAATGTTAAAAAAAATTGGTCACTAAATTAATGTAATTGACATCCTGTAATCAACAAGAAGCTGAAAATGCTTTGGTTAGGGGCTGGCACTGTGGCATAGTGACCTGGAAGAAGCTCCTGGTTCCTGGCTTCAGATCGATGCAGCTGCGACCATTGTGGCCAATTGGGACGTGAACCAGTAGATGGAAGATCACTCTCTCTCTCTCTGCCTCTCCTTCTCTCTCTGTGTAACTCTGACTTTCAAATAAGTAAATAAATCTTTAAAAAATAAAAAAGAAAATGCTTTGGATAAGAAGTAATTGTGAGATAGAGTGTGTCTGTTTTACCTGTTCTCAGAACAAGTTTCTTTCAGTTCTTCCTCTTCCCCTTCTCCTTCTAGATTTTATTTATTTATTTGAGAGGTAGAGTTACAGAGAGAGGGAGAGACAGAAAGGTCTTCCATCACTGGTTCACTCCCCAAATGGCCTCAATGGCCGGAGCTGGTCTGATCTGAAGCCATCAGCCAGGAGCTTCCTCCGGGTCTCCCATATGGATGGCAGGGGCCCAATCACTTGGGCCATCCTCTGCTGCTTTTCCAGGCTGTAGAAGGGAGTTGGATTGGAACGGGAGCAGCCAGGCCTCAAACCAGCGCCCACATTGGGTGCCAGCACGGCAGGCAGCAGCTTTACCTGCTAAGGCACAGTGCCGGCTCCTTTACACAGCTCTTTACCAATAGTGGCTGTTCAGCCTATGTTAGTTGTCCTTCCTCTATAGTGTTTCAAAATCTCTGAATTCTGTAATACACAAATGTGTTAATTCCATTTTAGAATTTTAATGATGATATTTTTCTCATTAGTTACATGAAATCCCATGGAAAACCTCAGTATGCTTTTTAAATGCCTTGTATGTTTGATGACAAGTGAGCAGTGATGCCCAGGTGCCCAGCAGTCCATATGTTGTGTTTCTGTTGACTTGGCCCTCTAAGGACAAACCTGTCAGTCCCCTCAGTGTTGGAAATAATTGTCACAAGTGCTTATATTAAACACCTATGTGTTCAATTCCTCATTAAAAGCCCTGACTCAAAGTTTATTTACTTGATTTCAACTTACAAATCTATAAAGCTTAGTTTCTGATTATTTGCACATGGTTGATGAGAAGCATTAAGTCAGAAGGCGACAAGGTGAGTTGAGTTAGCTGTCTCTTCTGGAAGACAGGAGAAACGGATGGCTACAATGCTTGTTGTAAGAGTTACCTGAACTGTTAGGTTTAGGATGATTCTGCATCACGACAAGACATTTTCAGTAAGAAAGGATGGAGTGTATGGGGCGGGTACAAATCAACAGGAAGTATTGTGGACCCCTGAAGGCCCAGACCTTCCCACTTCTCTAGCAGAGGGAGGT